ATAAGGCGCTTCCGTCATTTAAGAGGTTGTATAACGGTGCAGGCAACAGTTATACAACAAAAATACACCGAATTGGTATAATTGGTATAATTGGTAGGCGTTCGGAAATTGTCGTATGACGTCGACGCGGTTTTTCCGGTTTTTTTCCCGATTCGCGAAACGTTCGGAACGAAAGCGATACCGTTTCGGAAACTAGAAACTCGGCGCTTTACGGGGGAACGACAGCCGGAGCGGAAGAGAAAGAAACCGGATCGAAAACGGCCGGTAAAGTCGAAAAAACCGGTAGATTTTCGTGCCGTCCGACGTTCAACATAGGTTTCCTCCGAAGATAAAGGAGCTGCGAACCTGAAGATTTTTGTGTGAGAAAGCCCCGGCTTCGGGCTCAAAGAAGATTCTTTTTTTTCTTTATCCCTTTTCGTTCGAAAATTTCGATTTTTTTGCTTTCCTCGACTACGCGCTACTTTTCGATTTTTCCGGTTTTTTTCCGGGTTCGCGAAACGTTCGGAAGGAAAACGATACCGTTTCGGAAACAAGAAGCTCGGCGCTTTACGGGGGAGTGAGACTTGTCGCGGTAGGAGGAACGAACGCTATCGAAAATGGCCGGTGAAGTTGAAAAATTGGTAGATTTTCATGCCGTTCGACGTCCGTTTTCGATCTCCTCCGAAGATAAAGGAGCTACGAACCTGACGATTTTTGCGTGAGAAAGCCCTGACATCGGACTCAAAGATAGCCTCTTTTTTGTTCCTTTATCCCTTATCGTTCGAAAGTTTCGATTTTTTAAAAATTGCTCGGCAAAATGCTACTTCTCGACGCGCGAAAAAGTCACTTTGTCATCCGGCTCTGTCCTCGCCTATTACTACCGTACGTGAGCGATGAGCGAGTAAAAATTATACAGCTATCGAAAAATAACGATAATGAGCTGATGAAACGATTCTGACCGTTAGAATTACCGTCAAGTTTCGAAAAAGTAAACTTTGAGCGCCTCAAAAGTACCGATGACAGACGTTTTTCGGGGTACTTTTGTAATATAAGCCTCTTGCAGCCGCTATAGGACATTTGCGTCAGTGCAAGATCCAGTTTCTGTCAACTATACAACAATTCTGTTACGTGATTCTACTTTATTGCAACCAAACTATTTTTTATGTTTTTTTTTTTATTGAGAAAACACAAAAGCTGCATCAACCACGCAGGGTTATTAGCGGCTGGACGACAAGGTTACAATGATAGGGTACATAGTTACATACAATACATAAGACATTAGATTAAATTATAGGTATTGGATTCTTTGAGAAACTGTAGTGTTCGTTCGTAGTCCGTGGTGACGGCTTCCTTTATGGATTCTGGCATGCAAGCATGGTTTCGTGCATCTTGCGTGACAAGAGTATATGCTTCACGGTAAGTCTGCAGTCTGGGAGTTGGCAGGTTTGGCATGTTGGGGCTTCTTCGTTGCTGAACACGTATTTATGTGTCACTAGCGTATGACCAATTAGCAAACGTGTTCCGTCACACTTGAAATAGCCTCCCGCAGTTTGGTGGTGCTATTGTTCCATTGGCTTTGCCAAATAGTACAGATATGTTGTTTTGCCAGGGTCATCAAATTGGTATGTGGTGTGTTTATTATTTCTAGATTGGCGTCGGTCACCGCGGCAGCTGCTGCTCGATCGGCTGTTTCATTTCCGTCTATTCCTACGTGAGACGGTATCCATAGAAATTTCACTGTCTTCATTTTGTTGGATAGTAGGTTGATACATTGCTTTATTTATTTAAGAATAGGATGTTGCGGGTATAATTTCTTGATTCCTTCCAGTGCACTCATGGAGTCGGACAGAATAAGTATATTCCTTGCTGGGGTTGCCTCTGCGATGCTTAGGGCTAACTTGATAGCAGTTTGCTCTCCGGTAAAGATGCTGCTGTGATGAGGGAGAGATGCTGTTTTCTGGTTGCTTTCTTGAATTGCTACACATCCCACTCCATTTCGCGACTTCGAAGCATCGGTAAAGATGAGCATATGGTTTTTGTAGTGTTCAATTACTTCTCTGTATTTATTTTGGATGACTATATGATTGGTTTCTCTTTTGGTGTAACGGTTAAGCGATGTATTAATATCGGGTAGGCGCATTGTCCATGGGGAAGAATATAACGAATATGAGTACGTGTGCTGAAGATTGTTTAGGTTGAAGTCAGCGCGAATAATACGCTCTGATATTGGGCAGTCTCTGTAGTTGCTGTATAATCCTCTGGAAGAACACTTGACACTTGGTATTCTCTTCGAAGGTGCAACGGGGGCTCATTAGCTAGGACATGGATGCTTTCCACCGGTGAAGTTCTTAGTAAGCCATATGCCAGTCGTATTGCCTTGTGTTGTAAAATGCCAAGCTTTTTTTAGAGAATTTTTACTTGCGGTTGTATAGCATATACTTTCATAGTCGATTTTGCTTCTTAATATAGCCGATATACTCCCATTAGTCATAAGAAGTCACTTCCCCAAAAGGTATTTGCTAAGACTTTAATAAGGTTCAAACTTTTTTGACACGATGATATTAATTTTGTTATATGTAGATCCCACTTCAGTTTCGAATCAAGTGTCATCCCAAGAAAAACTATACTGTCAACTTTCTGAATTCTGGTGCTGTTCAGAGAGAGTACGATATTGTCAGTGGTGCGTCTAGATTTGCTAAATATAAGGTATTTGGTCTTATCGCTGAAGAAACGAAAACCTGATGTAGCTGCCTCTCTCTCCATTTTATTGATTGATTGTTGTATGATGCTTTGTCCTGTGGGTAGGTTATTCGTTGGTAAGTATATAACTAAGTCATCTGCGTACATCAGTGCCTTTACTGGTGTCTTAAATAGTTCAATTAATTCATTGATCGTTATTAAAAAAAGTGTGACGCTTAACACGGATCCCTGCGGTATTCCATTTGCTAATGTTCTTTCGTTGGACATCTTTCCGTTGGCTCTCACCCTCGTGGTGCGGTTACTCAGAAAGTTTTGTATGCAACCTAAGAGATGGCCTTTGATTCCCATCTCAATCGCGGATTTTATGATAAGATATCGCCAGGTGGTGTCGTAAGCTTTGTCTATGTCGAAGAATACAGTTATAACACTCTGGTTGTTTGCGAATGCTTGCTTGATGGTGGATTCCAGTACTACAGTGTTATCTGTCGTAGACCTGTTGCTTCGGAAACCATTTTGTAAGTTGTTAATATGTTTGTGTTTTTCTAAAAACCATAACAGGCGTTTATTGAGGATTTTCTCCTTCAGCTTGCACATATAACATGTCAGCGATATCAACCTATACGAAGCAGGGTCATCTTGAGGCTTATTTGGCTTTAGGATGGGGATAGCAATGGCTGTCCTCCAGACGTCAGGGAATTGTCGGGTCACCAGAATCTTATTGTATATGTCTATCAAGATTCATTTTGCCGTCAATGGGAGGTGTTTCAAGAAAGAGTATGGAATATCGTCAGGACCTGGGGAAGTACTTCTTGATGTTCTTAGTGCTTCTTCCAGTTCTTCTATTGTAATAAGGCTGTTTATTGGACTGTTATCGTTCGGTACGGTGATAGTATCTCCTTCAACCTGTGACTTGTACTGGAGAAAACAAGGGCTGTAGTTGATTTCGCTAGAGTGTGCTGAGTAGACGTCAGCAAAGATTTCTGGGATAGCTGATTTGTCAGATACTACTTGGTTATTGTATTTTATAGAGGTTATTTCGTAGCTTGTTTTTGATCCACTAATGCTCTTGATTTTATTCCAGGTTTGCGGTGCAGGTGTAGACGAGTTAATAGTGGATACATAGATTCACCAGGATTCTTTATTGCTTTTCTTGGTATGATATCTGGCTTTTGCTCTAGTTTGTTTAAATTTTCGCAGAGTTTTCGGCTGTGTTATGTTTCTTCATTGAAGCAATGTTTGCAGGTCGCTATTGCATTAGAGACTTGTTGATTCCACCATGGGACTGGTTTCCTGTTACAGGTTTTCGTTTTTCCTACGGCGATGTGAGCGGCATTTTTTATAACGTGAATCAGGCTGTTGATCTCGATATTGATGTCTTCACAGGTGGGAAGTAATGGTAAGCATTGTTCAACCTGCTGTTGGTATCTATCCCAATCAGCTTTATTCAACTTCCATCTTTGTGTAGTGGATGCACAAGAAGCATCATCTTTACTATGGCCAATAGTTATAGGATAGTGGTCACTATCATAGAGGTCAGATAGGGGGTTACAGTGGAGAAAAGGGGCTAAAGAAGGGTCACAGAAAGATAAATCAATGGACGAGAACTTCCCATTGAAAGCATTGAACCGAGTGCTGCGACGATCATTAAGTTGTATGAGACCAATATTGTCAAATATGTTTTCTAGCTCCATGCCGTATCTTTCAGAGAAGTCTGATCCCCAGCATATATTATGACAATTAAAATCTCCTAGTATGATTCTGGGCATGGAAATTTGTAGCAGCAAAGACTCTATTGCGTTAAAGTCTATATCCTTTGGGTGTGGTATGTATATATTGCAGATATGTATGGTTGAGTGGTATGTGATCTACACGGCAACAGCTTCCAGATCTGTAGTAATGGGAAGTCTTTTTGCTTGTATAGAGGTTTTGGTGAATATTGCTACTCCTCCTGCTGCTCTATCCTGATTTGGTCTATTTTTGTAAAAGCTAGAGTAGTTCTTAAGTATGTGGCTGTGATTATCATTCTTGAGGTGAGTTTCTTGCAGACAGATTACATATGGATTATTTTTACGTATTAGCAAGTTGAGCATTTCTTTATGGGTATAGTACCCGTTCAGGTTCCACTGAATTAGAAACATGAAAATATCTAGTATGTTGAGAAAGAGGAACCCGAGACTTCGCCATCGGATGATTCTAGATCCTTTTCTTCACTGTTTTTGGATGATAAGTTTTCTAGATGTTTCGCTAATTTTTTTCTGATTTTTGTAATTTTTATTTTTGTGCTCCTTTCCTTTAAATGTGAGTATAGTTCAGCCAAAAACTGGTTCATATCCGGTATGTTATTTGTGTAGTTCCTAAACGTTGCTATTATATCTTTGGATTTATATGTATTTTCTATCATGTCCGCTACCTCTGATACGTTTAGCTTGGTTGACGTAAACCGTGAGTTTATGAATCCCTCGGCGGGTTCCTCAGAAACTTTTGATGTTTTGATTCTCTTAGTGGGGGCTTCAGTTAATGTAGGCTGGGTGTTAGTAGATACGGGGGATGTTGAGATTTGTCGTTTAGGTCGAGTTTCTTCTGATACAGAGTTGTCTTGTATGGTTGCAGTCATGTTTAAGCTCAATGTATTAGTTTTGTTATGTACATTAGATGACTCTAATTCCATTCTTGTTTCGGTGTCTTCATTTCTGGATTGTGATTTGGGGCATTTTTCCAATGTATGTCCCGTTTGCTTGCAAAGAGTACAGCTTGGTCCGTCTACGGAGAAAAATATCATGTACGTCGTTTCCTCAAAGGTTATAGTGGTAGAGTCTATGATTTCGCTAACAGGTGGTGCAATATACACTTGTCGACGGAAACTGAGAATGTGATTGTATTCATTTTCCGGCATTCCAACTCGGAGGTAAGTTATGCGGGAGAGTAGCTTCAGGCCCATAGTTGTTAGTGAACTTTCAATAATGTTGTTTGGCACAGAGGGGCAGACATTTGAAATAACTAGCCTTTGAGCAGGTGTAACAAGTCGTCTTATTTCGATGTCGTGGTCTTGGACCTTTATGGATTTGTGTTCAGTGATTATTTTGTCCACGCTATCAGTGTTACTCAGATACATACACATTCGGCCGTTAGCAATTCTTGATGCGAACAGTATATTTTTGGGACCTACAATCGAGCCAATTGCAATAATATAATCATGGATTTTTATCCCATCTAATGCTGTTAGGAGAATCGCTTGGTTTTTTGATGGTGTTTGCTAACTGGCTGCTGTAGGAGTGCACTGGAGTATGATGATGAAGTAGTTGTACTGTTTCTGTTATTATCAGGTTGAGTCATGTTTAGATACGTTTAGCGATATCTCTTGCAGTAATGTAAGGAAGTCCACTTACTTGCTGGTTTTTTGGTGACCGACGTCTTGGTGAGTGTTGTATTGGTGGGTGAACTTTTCAGTAAATAAATCGAACTAATAACTTTCACACATGATATAAACTCGCAGAGTACTATCGATACTACTTTCAAGTTAGACGGTCAGGACCGTCCTTATTTGTAAAGTATTGTTCGTTGAGTTAGCAATAGACTCCCACAATTTTCTAAGTGTATTGAACTCGTAGGTGCCAGCCTTTGGTTTTTGATGTTAATATAAAGCTAACAACAACCTTGCTTCGTTGGTGCTCCAACTGTGATCAAGTTGCATATTCTCTTCCATATCTGTAAATATTCAAATAGTAGTGGATTACGAAACGAGACTTAAGATGATTATACTAACCTGCGATAATCAGCCTTTATCCTTCTACGTCATCTAACAACATACAACAAAACGTTTATTTCTCTGTTATTTCAGTTGCTATGCAATAGGCAGTATATTATATTCAATATATCATAGCGTTCTGTGAATATACACCAAGAGCCATGACGGCCTTCCACAGACTTTTTTAAATTGTTTGGGACGTTGATCGTTGAATGGAAGGCGTTCCAAAGATAAGAAAATTCTTGAAGGGCAGTCCAAAAGTGCAGAGTTGGTTAGTGGTATCCTTTTCAATTTTACTAACAATTCTTATAAAAGATATATAACAAATTATTAAAACATACGCGTCTCAAGGGCGCGTTGCTATGGCTTCAAGCGTATTTCCTATGTACAGGGGGTTTATTCTACGAGTACAGTGATTTCAATCGGATGGAAAGGTCTTGAAATTTTCAATTACTTATAACGTTGAAATATAGTTTGCATGTGTCAGTTTTATCATCCCTTGAAAATCGCTGTATCAGAATATCTCCAAAGTTCCTTCCTATGTTTTTTGTTTGACCAGGTTTGGGTTGGGCTTGAGCTAAAGTATAAGCACTGTTTGTTCATGTACAATTACACATTTCAAAGCTGAGCGACAACTGTTAATCAATAGGAAAACTCTACTATCCTAGTTTTATCAAAAGTCAATTTTTATAATAAATACTTTGTACATTTTTCATTCATAATCATTGCAGACGTTTATTCAGAACTATTGCTATATGCTTTTTCAACTTGTCATCCGATGTGAGGTATCACACTCCTTCGAATGTATGTCGATAATATTTAAATTGGAATTGAATGGGAATTATTGAGTAAATCCACTTGACTTCTTTGCTGAGATTCCTGGCAATTGGACGATAAGTCCGTGATAAGTCTGGTTTACAGCAAATGAAAATACCATACCTTTTCTAAAATTGTCTTCTTCATTCTGAAAAAAAAAATACAATCGAATAATGTTTGTACTTGATTTCGAGCTCTGACAATTTACTGGCCGATAATTTGAGGATAACGTTCTCCTGTACGCAATCTATTCAGTCAGCAACGTGCCAGTGACAGCTAACTGAATAAACTAGGTCATGACTTGTCGCCGACTATCAGTTTACTGATTGTCAGCAAACAGGCTGTACGAACAAACCACTAGTCAATCATTTGCAATTTAATATCAACAGTATTTTCGATAATATGAAACATGAACATTTCAAGGTAAATTCAGAAAATTTGGCGTCAAAATGACCTACCTGTCGCCCTCGAATTTCGAAGCATCACAGCTCGCTAGGTACCTACCTCGGAAGAGGTTGATTTCGTTATTTCTTTCCTGTACAAGAAATTTTAGTACGCACTCTGGAATAAATGCACACACATTATTCTAGTAATAGGCAGCAGCGGTGACCGCAGTAGTAGACTCTTCGGTCTCCTGATCAGTCGCCGTGCGCTGTGCGGGTTCGAGTCCCGTCCCAGGAGAAATTTTTCTCTTGGCTATGGATGTTGTGATTGTCTGTAGGTGATAGACGGTCTCTGACTGTCGAACGTAGAGGTACCACCCGGCGGATCTCGTAGGCGGAGCCAGAATGTGTGCATGTTGCATGCACACGTGTTCCCTCGCCAGAGTCCGTTCCCCCTTTCCCCTGTATCCCCCTATAGCCCCTCGGTACCCAATGGATGTTTAGGCCTTAGGCCTTCGTGGTAGTTGGAGTATAAAAAAAATTGTAGTTTTTATTTCGCGAAATCCCGTACCATCATCTAGAATAGATTTGGCTGCGAGTACGCCTCACTAATTTTTCGTTCGTTCAGTGGTGTCGCATTCAAAAGGGACAATTTAGGATATGTGCAAACAGATCAACAAATGTTTTCCCCATATTATATGATGAGCTCTTCTATCAAATATCTACCAATTCGACAGGTGGGCGAGTTGGGCAGTCTTTAATGTTAAAGTGAAAGAAAGCTGATGTCCGAGGGATACTCTACCAAAAAAAACCTCTTTCGGCTGTGATTTACTTGATGTTTTTAACCTCTATTACAGTTGATTAGTCCATTCAATTACATCTCTATTCGAACATATGTTTAACTTCTACGAGAGCCCTTTTTACGTGTTTATCTGCCCCTACGCCGCTTCCCCCATTCTCAGGACAAAAGTTTTTGTTGGAGCGCCGTAAACTTTATGGATTACGATAGTTCGGCCCACTTTGGATATTTGACATCTTTTTCATTTTGTAAACTGCCCTAATTTTCTTATGAAATGTACATATATGTCTCCATAGTACAGTTCCCCGGCTCAGCTATGAGCATCTTTTTGAAAACGATAGAAAAATAGGATGCTCAATAGAACTGATTAATCATGATACATCTCAATGTACCGTGTGTCTTCTCCGGCTGACCTAGTCAAAGTAACTATTATAATACACCCGTATACGACGAAAGCAGAACGGCTCTAGACCAATGGCAGCAAAGCAACAATCAGAATGGCAGAACATCCGAAGGAAATAAATCTTATGGTATAAGTAATAAAAATGGGTGCAGTTGCGGATTTAGAGGAGGGGCGCGGGGGCGCCCCCCCCTAGACGTCTGACACTTGATTTGTAATCTAACACCACTGGATTACTTTCTGGCACATCATGGCGACAGAAGCATACTAACTATAAGTTATAGCTATAGGAACTGAGCATTGCGATTTTTTGGTATCCTTTGGTATTCCAAATGCCTGACCCTCTTTGACATCACTTGTTTATAGCACAATTCTTACGATTAATCCGAGTAATGCGACTTGTGAAAAATCTGGGTACCTAATATATTAGCTATATAGATTGCTCTTAAAGGGTGATTTATGTTCTGTTTATTGCTCAATAGTAATTTGAAAAGTGTGTAAAGCTTGACTGATTTTGTTCGAGATTAGTGTTGCAGCGAAGCACTATGTTAGATGAACGCCTAAATTGGAATTTCTGAGATTTGTTTAGCGGTGCGCCTGTGACCTGTCCAGAAACTGCGTCGACCGATGCTCCAAGTCAATACCACACGTCCCGCATCTCTTCTCGCGTATGTTATTTATGTTGCTATATTGAATTCGTTTAAATCACAGAGCTGCTGCATTACACGTGATATGTACAGCCCTATATTCCTGTACCTGTTTCGTACAAACATACATTATAAAAATAATTACGATCTAACAGATAGTCTTTACAATGATTCCAACATTTTTACATGCGATCAATACCGGTTCGACAACTGAGAAAACAACAACTATGCCGTAAATGGACGGGTGGAGGGTGGACTCGAGGAACATCGAAGATAAAATTTGTTTAGCGATCATCTGCGGGATTAACAGCAACATTGATGCTCTACATCACTACTTGCAATCCAATCATCCCGCCATGCTTTTCTTGGCGAGGCAAAAATCTCAGAGTCCGCACCGATTAACCACCTTAGCTTCTCAAACTACGAGGTGCACTCCAATCTGAGAAAGATCGGGGGAGCTTTTGTCCGCAGCAACCTTTCCTGTTCCAGAGACGTTTCTTTGGAATCAGACCCCAAAAGTATGTGATGCTTTATCGCTCTCCCTTGGACCATAACTGGGATGACCTTCTTGAATACCTCGCCGTTAAGATGGACTTCCTGAACTTCGATCAGCCCGCTTCAGAGGTAGTTCTCCTCGGTGGTTCCAATGACTATAATTTGCTTTGGTTGGGCTTAACCAAGGCCGATGCAGCAGTTGAAGCGTTCGTTCTTACTCAAGGGCTGACCCAGCTGGTGGCGGGCCCTACTTTTTTCTCCCGCGTCTCGTCACATACCAGTAGCCTGCTGGATCTCTTTCTGACCACGCATCCTGTCCCTTACAGCACTGCTATCCTGTCACCTTGGGTCGCTCAGACCACGGTGTTGTGGAGGTTTGGTTTCGGTCAGAACCTGCTGTGGCAGCAGAAACTCGCAGAGGCCGCAAAATTTGGCAATACGGACCTGCGACTGGGAGGGG